ATAGATAGATAGATAGATAGATAGATAGATAGATAGATAGATAGATAGATAGATAGATAGATAGATAGCTATATACGGTAGATACGGTAGATAGATAGGTAGGTAGGTAGGTAGGTAGGTAGGTAGGTAGGTAGGTAGGTAGGTAGGTAGGTAGGTAGGTAGATAGATAGATAGATAGGCAGACAGACAGACAGACAGACAGATACTGTGTGAGTGTGTATGTGTGTGTGTATTCTCAGAAGAGAATATGTAGCTCAGGGTTGAACTGTGGAGTTCTTGGTGTTCTCTGAGCTTGGTTGTTTGCTTTCAGACATTTCATTACCCAACTAGGTAACATCATCATGCCCAACTTATGGATAGTGACAGCACTGATGATGTCCCCACTCTCATACATATGAACATATACAAGCATGGTTTATCTGTTAGTGAACCCACCTCATAAAAGCAGCGAAACCTGCCCAGTCTGTTATGGTTGGGAGAACAGGCAGCTCTTCAGTGCCTTGCCAAAGGCTAACAGGATTTCCAGAGGGATACTGTTCTATAGGGCATGTGCTGTCACAGAGAATGCAACCTTCCGTGCTCTCTAGTGGCAGAGTCTCCATCCAGGGAATTAGTATAGGTAGTCCTCAACTTGCAACAGTTCATTTAGTGACAGTTCACTAAATGTTTCACACTTACAGTCTTTGCAGCATCCATCTGGTCACATGATCAAAATTCAAATGCTTGGCAAATGGTTCGTATTTATGACGGCTGCAGTGTCCTGGGGTCATGTGATCAGCTTTGGAGACCTTCTGACAAGCAAAGTCAATGGGGAATCCAGATTCACTTAACAACCGCGTTACTAACTTAAGAAATGTAATGATTCACTTAACAACTATGGCAAGAAAAGTCATAAAATGGGGCAAACCCATTTAACTAATGTTAGCAACATAAATTTGGGACTCAATTGTGGTCGTAACCCAAGGACTACCCGTATGAGACTACGGTAAGGACGTTGTATATGGGGAAGAACTATTCCTATTCATGTTGAAGAATTTCAAAGTCAGTAGATGTTCTCTCATGTTAAATGTGATCATCCCACCAATACACAGCATGTTGGTACTATTAAAAAATGAATTAAAATCCTTAGAGGAAATTTTAAACATGATGTTGCTTTTGCCTCTAGAAATCTTTTTTTGTTTCAAAGCCTTTTTTTTTGTCAATACGTATATTCTACAAATATAGGAAGTCTGGTTCTTTCAGACTGTCATTTAATTCCAGTATTTCTTTGAAGGAATCCAGTGACTTCTCCCAGTATCAGCTCAAGGGTCTGCTTAAGAAAAGCAGCTTAAATCGACATATAGAAAAAGTGCAGAAGGAGATGAATGAGCAACATTCTGGCCAAATCCAGCACCAGTATGAAGAAGATGGGGGTTTCTTGAAAGAATTGGAAACCAGAAGGGTTGTATCTGAAGATAGCTCTCATTACATCCTATTAAAAGGTATCAAGGGAACGCTCCAGATTCAGAGTACTATTGAGAGTTCTGAGATAACTGATTACTATAGCTTAATTTTAATTAATGTTTTTAAAAACTGCATTTGAATTTTACTAAATTTCCCTTAACATATGAATAACAATAGCAATACAACTTAGACTTATATACCAGTTCATAGTGCTTTGCAGCCTTATCTAAACGTTCTTCAGAATTAGCATATTGACTCCAACAATATGGCTCCTCATTTTACCGACTGCGGAAGGATGGAAGGCTGAGCCAACCTTGAGCCGGTCAGAATCAAACTGCCGAATTGTAGACAGCTGGCAGAAGTATCAGAAGTAACCTGCAGTATTGCATTCGAACCATCATAGCTCTTTGTTTGTCTTTTTTCTTTCAGGTACCCAGTCCAAAGGAAATACTTCCAGTTATGTGACATCTGCAATCCATTCTTCTGCAATGTCGAAAGATTTAAAACCTAGCAAAAACATAAACAACATGCCAGTGAAGCCAGTCTCATGTGACCTTTCAATGGAAACAACCAGTAGCACTTGTGCAACACCCCCTTCTCCCAGAACGATGCTTGCTATCCAGGCTGCTATGTTGGGAAGCGGTTCAGAAGATGAGTTGGAAGATGAAAACAAGAACCACCCTAATTTAGACAAGTGTGAGACCACGGCCAGTGTAGACAGTGGTAATATGTCTCCACGAACAATCAAGGCTATTCAGGAGGCATTATGCGAGGAGGAGGAGGAGGAGGAGATTATTACAGCACCATTTATCAACAGGACTAATATTACTCAAGGGGAAAGAATGTCCATAAAGGACCATTTTGCTAGCAGTTCAGATGAAGAAGAAGCAGTTCCTGAAGATCAGAATGACAAACAACTTTTACCAGTACAGAAATTGGAAAGTAGAAATGTTAAAAAAAGCCCATGCACTCCTGTTGTTCAGAAAAGACTTTTGTCTGGGGCAGAAAATGAAGAAAAAAGTGTGGAAACTGGTATTTCTCAAACAGATACAAGTCCCGGACAATGTCAGAGTCCAAACAGCAGCATAAAGCAGCCAGAAATGTCTTTGTCTCCAATTCCATCAGTTGGCTCAAGCCATTCAGGTTTTGCAGAGTTAGCCCAAACTGGAAAACTTCCATGTTTAAAGGAATCGGCTAGCTATTCAGAAAAAAGCACATCCCTTACACAGAATGAATCTTCGTTTGCTTTTGATATCCCTAAACTTGAAGAGAGTGTGGAACATCAATCACGGTCTGAAGAAAGTGATTCTGATGGTATGTCAGTTTTAATGTAACATTAGATTACTGGAATAATTTTAAAAGTATATAAGTAGGAAAGTAAGAAATTCTGTGAACTTTCCTGGCAAGTTGGCTTGTGAATATACATGTTCAGGACATTCAGAGATTGATTTTAAACTGTTTAGTTTAGGAAGCATGGATTTTTCATTTTTTAAGTTGGCTTCTAATGCTATTTTTTTAATATTGGAAAATGTTTTACTTTCATTAAAAAAGTAAAGCCCATTTAAAAATACAGATAGAAGGATGTGTATATTAAAACAGCAACCAAAGTTTATTAACTAAATAGTGATAAAGTGCAAAGAATATCGTGGCAAGCGATGGCTAGAAGGCATCTAATGTAATGCAACAGAACCGGTTATACACTATTAACATGATATGTAATATATAATGCAATATATTTGTAGGTAGTTTCATTGAAGTAGAGACTGAACCAAGTGGTGAACAAGATCTAGCATCTGAGACATCACTGGTCTCCACTGAAGACGAGGTTGGAGTGGTGTCTGAAGCTTCATTGGAAATGAGAGAAGAAAGTGAGGATGCTACAGAGAATAAATCAGAAAAGGGTGAAGATGCAGAGCTTGCTATGCAACAAAACGCTGGAATGGAAAGCACAGAGAAAGCTGAAATTAATGAATGGCAGAATATTAGTATGGTAATTATTTTGCTATCTGTATTTGAGGAATAACAAGGCTGAACTATGAGCTGTGAACTGTTTTTAGTTTGGAAATTGGAGACACATGGAAATAATGAAGAATGAGATGACTTATATGTAGGGATAAATTTTTCCTGTAATTGTGAGCACTAGAAAAGATGTGTGTGCATGTGTGTGTGTGTGTGTTTATGGATTTAAAGATGAAAATTCTGGATTCTGTTGGTGGGAGCACTCCTAATATAATATTACCACCTATGACATATCTCTTCTAGATTTAGTTTTTATGGGGTCCTTTGGCAGGAATTGAGAGAATTGGTTTCTAATTCTACCTATAAGAGGCTTAAAGGAAGACAATTAACAGACCTCAGTACTTTAGATTTAACAATGTTTTGATTTGTATCTTTGTAGGAGGATTTGGAGGTCTTGGAAACCAACCTGTCTGTGGAACAAACAGCACTTCAAGCTCAGAAACAGCAGCAGGAACGTACAGCTGCCACCGTGACAGGACAGATGTTTTTGGAGAGTCAGGTTTGTGTTTATGTTCTATTTCATTTGTTCTCAGCGGGTGATGGAGACGGACTAATATATAGAAGAGGAAAATGAGAATATTGATTTGGTAAGACTGTCTAGAGAAATTTGTATTTGAGATGGGACATGAAGTGCCCGAACAGTGTGGTTTGAGAAAATATTCATAGTATAGTAGCATTGTAGTGTCTATGAAGATTCTCAATTATTCAGGTTGTGGTTGTCCCAAAGGTGCCTTTTTGTTCAGAACTGAACTGAACTGAACTGAAAGGACCACTTTGGTGGGAAAATGACAGAGCCATGAAGGGAGCTTCAGTCATCCCCAGGGCACAGGTAATGTCACTGGCTAATCCTTTCAACCCGAAAGGTGTTTCTCTGGTAGGTGTTTCCAATACAAATGTAGCAGTAGTGCTTCTTGGATGAGAAGCGAAATGTTTTCAAAGAAAAAAACAAAGTCCAGTTGCCTATGTACCTTTTGGACATAGTAGCATTAGGTTTTTCCCATGTCCAGTTTTATCTTTTAAGATACTTGGATCTTTGAAACGTTGAAAGGATCTCTATGTTACAAAAAAATCCATTGAATTCCATTAAGCTTTTAAGACAAATGTTTCATGCACAGCGTATGTTTAACGTTAAGTTGTATATAATAGTGAAAATATTCCTTTAATTATAAACTCAGTAGGTGGTATTATTTTAAAATATTGTTTATTGCTTTAATTGATAATATCTAGATGCTTTAGGAAGGAATGATCAAATTTAATTCATTTGAATTAGTCAGAATTTGTGTCCAATTCATTTTGCAAATTGTATTCAGTAGTAATAGGATCAGAGAATCAAGAATTCAATCTCTAATTATATAAATTATGTATAGTTTTCAATCTAGAGGTCAATTCCATTCCTCATATTGAACAACTAATTTTCCTGTTTAAAAAACACAGGAAACTCAAAAAGTGGAAATTTAGCCATCTTTCTCACATTTCCAGATTTTTCAAATAACCATTAAGCATCAGTTTGAAATAGTTGATGCTATATTTTATTATTGGGGAAGAATAATATATCCTTATCTGATAGAAAATCCAGTGTTGACACAGTTAAAACTAGAATTGGGAAATATTTGAATTCCTAATGATATGAGTTATCATCAGTGAAATCCATCAAAACAATATTTTAAATTTAAATGTGTTGCTTATATAATATATAGCTTATCATTCTTTGTATTAAAGAAAATAAAACGTGATGAGAATTTTGGAAATTAAAATAGGCATATATCACGATTCTATCAAGTGGTACTAATGAAAGATGCTGACTTTAGTGTCATTTGTAGGGAGTCATAGTTATTCATTTTGGGGGTGGTGGGGTATATCTTCGAGTCACTCCTGGCAACTGCATGGACATGTCTGCATTTCTCTGCACAAGATTTCGGAGGTAGTTTGCCATTATTTCTTTTCTAGGGCTGAAAAAGAGTGACTGTCCCAAGTTTACCCAGCTGGCTATATGCTTAAGGCCAGACTAGAACTCACAGTCACCTGATTTCTAATCTGATGCCTTAATCAGTACAACAAACTGGCTTTTTATTTTTACTTGGTGCCAATTTTAGCAATGATTACTCCTAAGTGTCTAAATTCATCAGGAATGCTGCAAATGTAATAGTTTTTGAAATTGTTCCTGTAACTCATAATCAGTATTAATTAACATATTGTATATAAAAGGCTGAATAAAATAAATTTCAAATTGCAGCTTCCTTATGCTTCTGTTAGGTTTTTAACAAAAACAAATATATTTTCTGCCAATTGTATTCTATTGTTAGACCCCAAACCTTTGTTTTTTCTCATATTCTGCGCTAGAAATTTTAGAATAAGATAAAGCAAAATAAAAGAGAATGGGAGTCTTTACTGTTCTTAGTCATCTGAAAAAAATTGCATCTGATCCACTTAGGCTAATTATTGCTCGTACTGGTGAATGTATCTGACTAATTATAAAAATAATGCCCAAATCTTGCTTCGAAGAACAGTTTTAAAGATGTATCTTCTACAAGTCCATTCATCACAAGGGAAATTAGCACATGTGATGGATGAACCGACCCTTAGCAGATTTCGCCACCAACTAAATTTGGAACTGTTTTTCCTGCTTGTTCACAGGAACTTCTGCGCCTCTTTGGCATTCCATACATTGAGGCTCCAATGGAAGCAGAAGCTCAGTGTGCTGTCTTGGATCTTACTGATCAAACTTCTGGGACAATCACAGATGACAGTGATATTTGGTTGTTTGGAGGACGTCATGTGTACAAAAACTTCTTCAATCAAAGCAAGTACGTCGAATATTATCAGTTTGTGGACTTCCAAAATCAGCTAGGTAATTCATGATATGAAACCTTGAATCTTGGCTTCTTTTATCTTTTTCCAAAGATATAACTTAATTTCAGTTGTATACTCGCACACACATCACACTAATCCCGTTTGAAGTAAACAACTTTAAAGGAAGGGCAGACACTGAGGAAGAATTAGAAAGTCAAAGGAATTGAATCATGAGATAAGGAAAAAGAGGCTAAATCTAGTTTACACCAAACTAATAATTATTCCTCTCCATACCATTCTGCCTTGCAAAAAATTGTTGCTTCCATTTTATCTGTACACTTTGTCATACATTCTCTTTTATTCTTTAGATTATTATTTCTCTCTGTTTGATTATCTTATCAGCACCATCTCAATGTAACATTTTTTAGTTTACCCTTCCTCTTGACTTATTAATGCTTCTTCCATATACTTTGTGATTTGGCCTTTATTTACCTGTATGATTAAACAGCTTCAACATACTATTTTAAGGTGATCTCTCAGTTTTATATTCGGTCTTCAAGATCAGCGTAAGAATAACAGAATAACATCTCTCCTTGGTGTACCCTAAATATTTCTAAATTATGCTAATCCTGCTTCATTTAATTTACTTTTATGTTTCTTCCAAATTAAAACTTTTTTATTAATTTTTTATTAGTTACACTAAACTCCTTTTTCCCTTCCTTCTTACTTTTCCATGTTTTTTTTTTCTTTATATTTTATACTTTGATTAAACTAATTTACTTTTATGTTTCTGCTGACATTCCCAATGTTAATTTCCATGTAACAAAATCGATATAAGCATGTTCCACTTCCTCCAACAAATCGTCATTCGTGCTCCAGATTTCCCTTTTTAAACATTATGGCTTATGGAACATGTACCTTTTAAACATTGTCCCATAATTATGGGACATGTGCATAGGATTTGTGGTTGTCCTGGAACAAACTCTCTCCAATATATAGGATAAGAGCTGAGGTGGTACAGTGTTTAGAGTGCAGGCTACGTCAGTTGATGGCTAGCTGCAGTTCAGCAGTTCATATCTCACAAGGCTCAAGGTTGATCCAGCCTGCTATCCTTCTGAGGTGGGTAAAATGAGGACCTAGATTGTTGTGGGCAATATGCTGACTCTGTAAACTGCTTAGAGAGGGTTGTAAAAGCATTATGAAGCAGTATATAAGTCTACGTGCTATTGCTATTGCTATATAGCAGGCCCCAACTCTGCTTGCTATAAGTGGCTATATCTCCCCTTCACCCCCACCCCCGTTGGGTATTTAGGTCCAGTTGAGCTGAGTCCTCTCTTAGTTGACTAGTTATTTTATATTTTCTATATTGGGTGGTTCTTTTTAACATTGTATCCTTAGCTTCCTTTGTTTATTGTTTGTTTTTGTTGTACTCTGCCTCGAGTTA